ACTCACTGTTTAAGCCAATATAAATCCACCTCATTTAAGTTAAAATGCAGCAGGCCGAGCATAGACCATAATTTCCAAATCCATCAGTTCCATCAGCTGTCTGTTTAAGAGCCAATTTGAAGCTTTTAATGAGTAATTAGAGCATCAGCGCCTGACCACTGCACATGTTCTGCAAACTCTTGACCTCTAATACAGTGAAGTTGCATTGATTTAAAAACCTGTGAAAGGAACTTGTGAATCACAAAGAAAGGTCTCAAAGCTCAATCCAGACACGTATTAATTGGTGGCTTTAGTGGAGGAAGGTAAAAGCAGGAAGGTGTTTTAAGCAGGTATTATTTCCTTACCATGAAATTCCGGATGGACCTGTGGAAGATCGTTCCATCGTAGTAGCTCTTTTTGCACAGACGGATGAAATTCTCGCCCGCTTTGGGAACCTTGAGGAAAAATAACGCAGGTGCTTAGCTTTGTGATTTTCTTCTTCACTGCAAGATCAATACTTTTCATTTTATCGCCACTCATTTGATAAGTGCCAGCACGAACAGTCAAAAAGTGGCCAGTGTGTCAAACTAGTGTCATATACCAATATATACGTTTTCTTTCCCATACATAATTGCATAACCTGTTAGCATTTTTCAAGTTCATGATATTACTTTTGGACAATGACACAATGTTTGTTCTGAAGTTCAGCTTTATTTCGACGTGTTTAACAAAAATATTGCTCTTCCTGTTCAGGAACAGCAGCCGTTTTTATGCATGGTAAAAAAAAAAAAAAAAAGTACTTATGGAGCTAAGTGTACTTTCACTCCATCCTCCATGTGAATATTTCACTTCTCTTATTGGAGCTTTAGAAAACACTGAACTGGCTGTATTTCAGCTTTCATGCAGCAGTTACTGTCAGCGTGAAGTTTTACATTCACATAAACTGAGTCGCACATTTTCAGCTCTGCCTGACCTGCTACAAAATGTTTGTTATACCCATAAGTCTGTCATGAAGTAGGGCTCGTAGCGAGAAGGCAGGCTTAGTTCACATCTACAACAGAGCGATTTAAATGTTGAAAAATAAAATGGTTCATTGAAGGTGCTTCCTGGGTTATGAAACTTTTAGACCTCTTGTAAATCATTACAAAACATCAAGTGTCAGGCGCTAATTTTGACTGACTGGTAGTCTGTGAAACAAGGCGGCGACACAGCCCCAAGCAGAAGGCGTGGCTTTGACTATACGCCGGTCAACGGCCTGGAGGAACACCTCTCTGAGTGTTCGTGCGAGAGAAACACACACCCCCGGCCCGGCAACAACGGTTGGTGGTTTCCCCAGATTTATACAATACTCTGTTTAAACCTCTTTATTTTAACAGCTCTCTGCTGGTCTTATTTCCACATACGTCTTGATTTTGCTGGGGGTGATCAACTCTCTGGCTCCTTTTCCCTCTAACATAAATCCCAGATTTTCCAAGCACTCTGGTACAAAGAGGCTTATTGTTTTAAACCACTAAGCAAGCAAGCAAGCACACACACACACACAAAGTAATTTATTTCTATATTTTTGGATATAAAACTGATTTTTGGAATTGAACAGGACGTCTTAAAATAGTTGTCTCAGGACAAGCTGTCTGGTTCAACAGATTACTACCACCTCTAAGAATAAACACATAACAAATCAATATAAAAGCCTCCTTCTTCCCCCAGTGCTTTAACTTTGATTATTAACCAGTCTCCTGCGTCAGAGACGCGTCTGCTAGTCCTCTCCCTCTCGCTGTTGCTGCTCTGTAATAATGGTTAATTTAGCGTGCATGCTTTTGCGTTACTTTACGAGTCTCTAAAATGCATTTCAACTTAAAAACATGCCTAGGTACCTAAAATTGTCAACAATCAGTTGGTGTCAGCATGGAAACATTTGGTGACGCAGACAAGAAGGAAAAGTAGAAAATGTCCTGATTCACACGTGTTTACAGACTCGCTCACGCTGCCATGCAATCAGGCAGTAATGTGAAAGAGCGGAGGAGCATGAATCCATTAAAATTACTCAATTAATTTACATTTTAGCTGCAGACATTTACTTTTCTGCAGCTGAGATTTTATAGGTCCCACATAATCCACTTCTCTAGAATAAATAGTCATCATTGTTAGTGCGTCTTGTTTAACTTTAAACCCAAAGACAAAAATATCTGACTTTACATTTTCAAAGGTGTTTTTGAATATAATAAAGCTTTGATATCATGGGCGACTGAAGCGCAGGCTCCGTCGGACAATTACAAAAATCCACCCCCTTGCAGACAGCGAGGGCTGGGCAGGCTGAGTGAGCAAACCTTACATGGAGGTGGGATCTGGGTCTGTGTGACAGAATGTAGCTCTTATTAATTCATAAACAGCAGGCTACGAATAGAGCTGCGATCTTGTGAGGAAACCACTGGGGAAGAAGGCGGGGTGGAGGAGGATGTGGGGCACAGAGGGCAGGTTTGTCTAACTGCTGCAACTTTCCCTTCATTATTCTGATTCGACAGCTCAGAAGCCAATGAAAACCAGACGCACGAGGCGCTCGGTTACCAGGGAAGAAATATGTTCCTGGAGTTCACGCTGGCTCTCAGGAGCCCCCCACGTCTAAGCTGAGAAGGGCGAACACTTTGCCAAGACATAAGTTTGGCAAAGTGTGAGGTGGGGACGCTGTCTATTTTCACAGTTTTAGGCGAGTCATCCTAAAAGATATTTATTTAAACACATGCACCAGGAAAAACTTAATTTGAAAACCTTCCAGCGGAGAATGAAACCACCCTGTCACCTGAATCAGAGCCTCACAGGCTGCACTTGTAAAACTATTCATTTTGGCAGTTAGGATTGCTAATATCCAAGTGAAGCCATCTGCTCCTTTCAGGTTCCACATTGTTTTCATGTAGCCCGATGCAGTGGTTTGGTTCATTGTCTCAATGAACATCTGTTTAAGGCCAGCCTCCATTTAAGCCGGTGGTTTTTAAAATGTTATGACAAGAAGCTGAAAGCTTAAACTTTGATTCCTGGTTAGTCTCTTAATAACTGTCAAAAATGTTTTAGCTTCTGATGCAGGGTACTTTGGAACATGTTCGACAAAAACTGCAAACTTGACGTGTGTGCATACGCTACACACCTTATTATATGAAACTTTTCTGACAGCTAAGAAAGTGAAAACATGTCCCGTCCCACCTTCTTACGCCCACATCTCACTCACCCATTTGTTCTTGTGCTTACGGCACTTCTGCATTTGCTTCATTTCTCCCACCTGAGAGCTACGTCCAGCTTTTATACTGAGATAAAAACAACTCACAAAATCTCAATGCCTGCAGAGACTTAGCTGGCACCGCAAAAACAAAAAGTTATATATTTTTATTTTCCCACAGTCCTTCCTGACTGCTAAGAACTGAAAACCCCTGACTTACCAAATTTTAATGAGCTTTTATTTTCTAGTTGTCCTGCAATGATCATAAGAAAACATCAATGAGGACTGTTACTATACTAACAGTAAAACCTGCTGAATTGCACACTTTCTCCTCAGTTTCTTGTCTTTTCAAAATAAAAGTACGACGCTAAACGGCTGAAATCTATTCATTGTATAACACAGATTATTATAATTATTTCCACCTTATCGATTAGCAATTACCATCCAAATTATTCCTACTGTTCATGTGTAAATACGAGCGTTCTTACCTTATCACAGTGCAACTCAAGATTCAGGTCTCCCTTGTTTGTATGCAGGCGTACGTATCCCTTTTTCTTCACATACTGGTAACGCACAGTGTCGTCTGCAATAGCGTCTGTAAAACACGTTTAAATATAAATTTAGTTGACGTGCATATGACGAAAATATTTCACATTTATAGCTGGCACGTCAAGCGGGAACAGTTATTCTGAAAAACAATCTTAAGAGTTCATTGATTGTTTTGTGAGGCTCAGCTTGATGTTGGCACAGGTGAGATCTCTGACCTT